CCGGCTTAGCGTGAGCTGAGGCCGGGCTAGAGTGAGCTGAGGCCGGGCTAGCGTGAGAGGAAGCCCTGGCTTAGCGTGAGGCAACGAATGAGCGGCAACCACATGTGACGGACCCCGGGCTGGATTCCGCTTTGTCCACAGTGAAAGTTGTAGTATTTCCTCAGCGACCAGCACGGATCAACTCTAGGCATGACGAAGCGGATATCGTCCTCTTTTGGAAGACCAAACAAAGTAGTTTCGCTTTCACAACGACGCACACAGCGTCTTCAGGACATGGCTGCAGCGTCAACAAAACTACAGTGAGACTAAAAGTTACGCCTTCTTTCTTTGTGTGAACATTTGGGTGGCGTTATGCAAATCTTCCCACATAGTGAGGTAGATATGTGGGGGCGTGTTCGAACGAGCCGTTTTAGGTAGGCGTGGCTGACTCTTAACTTTTATAAAGAATATCTCTTTGGATTTGAGACTTTAGTCTTTGCAACTTTACAGATCTTCTTTATGCACCAAGAGCTTGTGACACTCCAAAGAGAAAGGAAAAATTGAAATCGCATCATATGACCCCTTTAAGAAATCATTCTAATATGCTGATTTGCTGCTCAAGAAACATTTCTGATTATTATCAATGTTTAAAAGAGTTGTGCTGCTTCCTATTTTGTTGGAAACTGATACATTTTATTTTTCAAGATGCTTTGATGAATAGGAAGTTCAAAACAACAGCATTTATTTGGAATATAAATCTTTTGTAACATTATAAATGTCTTTACTGTCACGTTTGATCAACTTAATGAATCCTCGATCAATAAAAGAATTAAGTATTTACACACACACACACACACACACACCTCGAAGCGTGTTTTGATGACGGTGACGGGCAGCATGCAGACTCCTGCGACACATCTGGCTCCGGCTCCCAGCAGTATGGCCTGTAAGGGCCCCGGGGCCCCATTTGCAAAAAAGTGCTGCTTTAGAGTGAAATATGTGCTGAAGTAGATGCCGACACCTGGAATACAGCGCACAAACGACTGCGGAGACAGAAATACAGAATATAACCACACAAACAGAAACATAATAGAGGTTTCGTACCAAATCAGGTGTGATACTCACAGGCGAAGCGCCTCTCCATAATCCGAGGATCTTCTCCGTCCGCAGGACACTTACAAAGACCGTGACCATGCCAATCCGACCCGACCTGAGGCACAGAAGACAGTTCATTTAATACTCATTCAGCCAGACTGAACCTCGTCCTGTGTGTGGACTGACCCGGGCTGGACGCCGTTCTGTAGGGTCTGCAGACGCGTCTTCACCAGGTCCAGAGGCTGGAAGAGCAGCGTGGAGCACGTCCCGCTCAGAGAGCCACACATGAATGCTTTCACAGCCGGATGAGCCTAAATCACACAGAGAGAAAGTGAAAAACCTGTTGAGTGGGAACAACATATTTAAAATACAATATATTTAACCCTGCAGTCAGTTAAAAGCTGTTTTAATCACATCTGATTACACAAGACTTATACAAAAATGGTTGTTTATTTTGATTTTAGATGGATTTCAGCATATCACAGTGCTTTAAATCTTTTTTTTTAATATTTGTTTACAAAACAGGGCTATTGTTAATTAAAAGCATACACTTAATCTGTAAAAAAAACAAAACATTTTTAATAAAAATTAACTGAAATAAACAACGCAATAAATAAAGTAATAATAAATCAAATAAAAAATAACTTATTTTATTTCATCTACTTGCCAAGGCAACATTGATCATTTCTGAAGTACTACATTTTGCATTTACTTTGAAGTACTTAAGTACTACATTTTACTAAAATTAAAACTGAAGCTAAAATAAAACATTTTTAAGACAATAAAATACAAGTGACAAAACAAAACATTTGCTAAAACTAAAATGAAAATAGGGGGGAAAAAAAAAAAAACTATAGCAGGATGATACTAATAACACTGTTACAAAATTAGTTTTATTTGGGGTGCATTTTGGCCATCATATAAACACTGATAAGGGAAATGATTTCACAAGTTAATGATATGAATGTGATGGTTTCAGTTTATCTCCTCCTTCTCAGCCCCGCCTCTTTAGACCGAGTGTTTAACATTAAACGAGCCCCGCTTCACACGGACCAATCAGAACGCAAGAAAACAAGAAGCTCGGCTAAAGCCCGCCCCCTTCAGTTACAAAAGAATTGGCTACTTCACTTCTGCAAACGCTTTAGGTAAACAACAACAAACTCTCTGAACAATTCGCAAAATGTTGGTATAATGTAAAAGGAGAAAGCAAAACTATATTTCAAACATTTTGTTTCTCAGGTAAACGCAACACTTTTGCCAGAAAACACAAAAGATTCGCGTGCGAGTAACGTTTATCGGCGAAACGGCTTTATAAGTAAAGAAAGAGAGAGAGAGA